AGTATCCTTATACCGAGAAGCCCTGTCTGCTAAGTCAAAGAGATCTTGAAACTCAACTCCATCAAACCTCTTACGATGTTCAACGTCTAGACCATTCAATGCCAACTTGATGTATTCTAGTTCTGGTAAACTTACTCGGCATTTGAGTTTAACCTTTCTGAACCTGGCAACAAAAGTCTCAACCAATTTGCTCGGCAACTGAGATAATCGAGATATGTCTGCCAGCATGGCTTCTGTCACTGTTCGGTAAAATTGGATATGGAACGCCTCCTCCATCTCATCCCAAGTCTGAATAGAATTGGCTGGGTAAGTTGCTGTACCATTCAAACGCCGCCCCGACAAGAGAGCTAGAAAATAACCTCATTTTTAACCAAGGGCTAGGACCAGCTTCTCCACATTGTGCGGTGAACCTTGCACTATGCTACACTGTAGAGAAATTTTCTTCGCCACTGTACATAGAAAAATTAGGATACCGATAATTTCTAGGCAACTCATGAGCATCGACATGATCAGGATAGGGCTTTCTATATACTGGCCGAGCACGTCTGTGACCTTGTGCTACTTTAGCCTGTATTAAGGCCAAAATCTGAGCCCTATCAATCCCTGCATTTCTTCCTGGAGGATCATTTAGGTGCCGCGGAATGAATGGATTAACCCATTCCCTTTGATGATCGGCATTTACTTACCCCCCAGTAGTCGCTGAAGGTATCAATGGATTAGCCCTACCTTGGTTCAGGTTGCCTACCACTTCTTGTTGATCTCTCACTGGTGGAATCGACTGCACATGTGGACGCTGCACATTCTGATTATGTTGATTATTCATTGGTGGCTAGTACACCGGCACAGTATTTACTGCTGGCAGATCTGATAAGATTGGTGGATTCCCCTTTGGCATGCCGAGTGTATGATTCGGCACATTGCCGATAGAAATACCAAGTCCTGCACTTAGCGGTACGATGCTTGTTCGAGGCCCTTGGGAAATATGTATCAATGGTGCCGTCATACGCTGAAATATAGACTCATTAATATGAGATACTTCAACTTGATCATATCGATTTTGATTAGCCGATATACTGGTTTCAAGCCTTTGATTCATCTTCTCCATTTGATCGTACATCATCTGATTTAATTCTCCAGTCATTGACCTCATCTCATGTATCTGAGAAACCAAAATTTGATTTGATTCTCCCACCTGAGACCTTACTTCACCGATCTGTGCTTGCTGGGCATCAATTTTCTACATAATCAATTCCAGTACCCGACCCAAAGGAAGATCAGATGGAATAGATGAGTCAGTATCATCACCAATGCCGAGTTGCTGGTTCTCCTCATCAGCATTGTCACCTGTAGTCACACCTTTCAAATTTCTTAGCTTTGGAGGCATCTTTACTATAACTTGCTCACCTGATGTGTCCCACCGGGCGTGCCAAAAATGTTGATCCTAAAATCGGCTCCTAAGATCCGATTCTAATTTGATGAGTTACGGGTGTGCCAAAACCAAATATAAGGTTCAAGTATAAATTGTCAACTTTAGTCCCTTTGAGCAAGTTGACTTTCAAGCAATTGCGAGGAAAAAGGGAACAGAAAAATTCCTTTTTGGGTTCAAAATTGCCTAGTTAAAGGACTTTATAGTGAATAAATTATAGTATCATATCTAGAGAATAGAAATGGGAGAAATATGAATATAGCAAGAATTTAAAGAAAGAGAAAGAGTTAGAGAGAGACTGAGAATTAGAAGGAAATAGAGATAGATAGAAAGATAAATAGCAAGGATGCTATTTTTGGGAAAGACCTTGAGAAAACAAATAAATAATAATAAAGATTCTGAGGGTGCTGGACCTCTTACACAGCATGCCTCTCTGTTTATTTATAGAGCAAATAGTAAACAAAAACCTAAATACAAGCATCCTAGTTGTATTCTAATACATCTAAATAATTATTCAAATCTAACTAATCCTAACTAAATACTAACTCTTAACTCCATTTAAATACAAGATAAATATATAACTCTTATCTAATATATTTGCAATTCAAATATCTTCTATCCTATCTGCAGTGCCCTTGTATGTAGCTTTGCCATCTTTTGTGATTTTGCCATGTCATCCAAACCAACCACAATCCATGCAATGTGTGAAGCCCAACATTCTAACTGTATTATATTATCGCAGCCGAAGACCAAATCAATTGCTTACCAAAATATCTTCTAGCCCAATCTCATTGTCGCATGCTTCAGCCTATTATCCTCTCGGCCCAATCCTCCAGCACATCATTGTTTCACAGGTTTTACACGGCCCATACTACTACTTACTTCACTGTCCATCAAATCCAATTAGGGCCAGAACCCAATTACCAAAATGTGTGCCAAGGACATTTGGTTTATGGACTCATGATTGGGCCAAAGATGGGTCTACAACCCAAATGCCAAAATGGGTGTCAACAGGATGACCTGCCTGCAATCCAATAAAGGGTCCCAAAATATACTTGAGACCCCTATGGAAGGGAAGGCAAGTCATCCTTGGCTACTAAACAAGACTCTCGATCTTCATCTTAGACCTCGCTAGCTTCTCAAAACATTCATGTCAAAGTGTTTGTCAAAGAAAAGAAGGCATTGCATGACAGACGAGCTCATGACACCAAAGTCCAAAAAGGACTCATCTCTTCATGTAAGACCTCTCTGCTGCCTATCAATTAAATTCATGCTCCAATGCATGCTAGAAATTAAGTGTGGCCTCTCATTCTCTATTTATAGCCATCAAGAAAAGATGACCAAATTAATTCTTACTCTCACCTTTTTTTCTTCCATTTCTTATCTGCATTATCTAGCTGCCCAATGAAGGAATATATTCTTTTAATGGTCAAATAGGAAAATGTTCCCTTTGAGCAATATATAGCTGACCTAATGTATCTCTCTACTTCATGTCCTTGCAGCTTTCAATGGAGGCAAAGACTTCACTCTGGCTCTACAATACCTCTGCAACTTGCATAGAATAAATTTGGCAGACCTTTAACTCCATTGGGAGGATGCAAAACCCCGAAAGCCACAAGTTTTTTGCTTGCTCGGCTGGGGCTTGTTCGCATCAATTGGGACTCAAATTAGGCTTCACTGGATAAGAAATCTGTCCACTCAACCTCAGCTTATAACTATATAGAATATAAAAAAGCTTATATGCGCAAAACAGGGTTAGTGTTTTTAGACACAATGAATTAGTCCGAATTGTTGATTTATGGTAAACAATTCTCAAAATTTCAAGCATATTTTGTTTTCAAAATGGTCCAATTCTATATAAGATACAAATTTTGGATAGTGTAGTACTAAAACTACTAATAAAACATTGTGGTACCCCTCTCACATTGAGAGTCATTATCTATCTCGTCTCTGTCCTCTTAATTATCTAAATCCTGAACTTATTTGCTTTCCAATTCCAGTATTATTTTCTGATTTTGGCAGTGGATAGAAAATTGATATCTGATGGTTTTGACTCACAAAGGAATATAAATAGGGAAGCACAAAATCTAATAGAGATTATGTATTTTTTATCATTATTAAAGATAAATGTTGTCTAAAGTTGAGGGTTGCTAATAAAGCATTGCTGATTACACAAATGACACAAATTCATTTGACATTCTCCAAACATTATCTGTAGTATAAAGAAATGGTAGCCAGTAGGAAAGATTTTGTTCTGATTGACTTTGTGTGGCTAACCACACATGTTATGCTTGAAATTACCCAAAAATAAAATAAAAAAACAAAAAAACTCAGAGTAAGTTAAATTTACTTCTGACCTTCTTCCCTTTCGCAATAAGGGTCTGATACCGCTAGGTTGTTTGTATCTTACTTGTTTTGTTGATTACATGAATTATACTTAAAATCAGTACGAATTGTCTACAACGTCCCTAGTGTGACCAAATGTCATTAGTGGGACTCGAGCTCGCTTTTGGAGAGGAAAGATCATACCATTGGGCTTAGAGACGCTTTCGAATATTGACATCAAATTTGCAAACGCAGATGAAGCCTTCTTTGGATTTGCCTGGATTTACTTTGATTATTTGGATGGCCATTCTTTGCAAGCTCTGCAGGTAGGACAAGCTTCATGGCTATGGCATTATTTCCTCATGTCATTTTCTTCTCTTGTCCTTTCTTTATATGTTGTTTGTTGGACTCCATTGTTTTGTTTTGATTGTGGTTTTTCTGTTGGTCTTAGCTCTTCATGAGGTTTTGTTTGGCTTTAGCTCCGTTGTTATTCTTTTGGCTTGCTATTATTGTTCTAGAAACTTAAGGGCTCCTTTAACAACTGCTTTTACTTTGTATTTATTATTTTTGTTAATGTATTATAGCGAAGTAAAAGTACGAAACATGTTTGGTAATGTTTATAGTCATTTGAATAGTATCAAAGTGCTTCCGAAAAATATGCTAAAATCAAAAGATGCCAAAATTACTGTTAAAAAAAAAAAAAATTTTAAATGAAAAAAAAAATTCACATTTTTAACTAGCCATTTAATTTTTCAAACTTGCAACACTTTCTACTAAACATGCTTTCATGTTTTGCTCCCAAAAACCTTGCAACAAATTTACGTTACTAAATAAGCTTCGAAATAGTGTTGAACATACTCTAAAATAAAAACAATCTCTGATTCGGGTCAAAACAAAAGCACGAAGCATAAGCAATTGCCAAACGAGCCCTAAGTTTGCTTTGTTGCTTTCTGATTTTTTATATACAAAATCTTCGTAAGCCATTGCTAGATTGCCACAATGTTTTGGTTCATCTTCTATCTGTCAAAGGAGCTGCAAATTATTGTTTTCATCCGTTTGTTTGGACATAAAATTTTTATTTTTAGGTAAAATATATATATATATATATATATATATATATATATGATTTATTATTTAGTGCTTTGCAAATGTCTAGATAAGATAGAACATGTAAAATAATTTGTCAAAAATTGATGACTAAATTATTTTTGTTAGGTATTAAATTTTTTTTTTTTGTTTTTCATAAATATTTTAGATCCAAACAAAGGAGCCTAAATATGAAATATTAAGATGTCTGACTTTTGGCTATTCAAGCTGTCTTGGATAATTGGACCTCTTGGCACAAAACTAACTAGGCTATTCAAACTTCTACTTGTATGAGTACATCACATTGGCATAAATACAATCACACAAAAATTGGATGCCACCCGCAACAAGCCAATGTCTAGGAGACCTAATAACTGCTACAATTTAAGTACATTGCTTCGAACGAACTGATGAGTGACCCTTAAGTAATTCGACAACCCTTCGCATGGAAGGTCTGTTCATGGGAAATGCTGAAGTGCAAAGAAGAGCCACATTCAAAACCTTCTCGATCTCTTCAAAATCGCTTGTCGATGGTGGGCTCATTCTTGGGTCTATAAGCCGACTCAAATCTGCAGAAAAACTCCCATCGGTGCCACTTCCTTGCTCTGGGGATGATAATGCAGCCTCTGTAACCCACGCCACAATGTTCTTGTTCTCCCCAAATGACGAGTCATTTGGCCTCTTGCCGATGACTAGTTCCAGCAATACCACACCGAAGCTATACACATCACTCTTATCAGTCACTTTCATTGTGTAGCCATACTCTGCAACGATTACAACATTGTGAAAGTTATTAGCCCATTACATTAAGAAAAAAGAACCATTCTACTTTAAGCCGAAACAAGAAACTGGACTGATTGGCCGAACAATTCGATTGTTTGTTTTTTTCTAGGTTGTGTGCTGACAAGAGATGAGCGTTTGTGAGTTCCACCATGATTAAGGGCTCACAAAACCCTTCATCTTTTGTTGGCATACAACTGAATCAAAGAGATAACAAAACTCTTATGCTACGTTTGAGAATACTGAATCTCCACACTGAAATTGAAATTGGAGAAGTTTGTACTAAATCACTTTCTATTCCAAATCATGGATTTGGTGCTCCCAAACATGGTTATGAGGCTTGATTTATCTTTCATTTTTCCATTAGCTGATCATAACTTGATGCAAATATACACTAGTTAAAATATGCAAACAAATATGTATATACTATATGCAAACTGATGCTATATTGCAAATAATTGATATCATTATCACCTGGCGCAATGTAGCCATAGGAACCAGCAATACGAGACATGACACCATCCCCCTCATTCACATCTTGCTGCAATGTCTTGGCCAGCCCAAAATCAGCCAGACAAGGCCTAAACTCTTCATCCAACAGTATGTTGTTAGACTTGATATCCCGGTGCACGATAGGCGGCACGCAATCGTGATGCAGGTAGGCCAGCCCCTTCGCTGCCCCGACCGCGATCCCAAACCTCTTGGCCCAATCCAACACCACCCCACCCTTCTCTCCATGCAGCACGTCACCCAAGCTCCCATTTTCCATGTACTCGTAAACCAGAACCCGAAGATCCTCCCCAATACAACTAGACAACAATTTCACTACATTGCCATGCCGGATCCTCCCCAGCGTCTCCACCTCCGCCCGGAACACAATGTCCGATTCTGGCTGCCGGTTACCATCCCACAGCCGCTTCACCGCCACAGTTTGCCCAGTCTTGAGCTTCACCCGGTAAACCCGACCCGAACCTCCACTGCCGATAAGGTTATCCTCCGTCAAAGGGACCACTATTTCTTCTTCGTTGAATCCGACCCGTTGGAATGAGGTAATATTACACAAACGCTTGCTTCTTCCTCCAAACAATTTCAATTTTCCGGTCTTGTGGAGCCAGTGCCAGGCAAGTGACCCGACAAGTAGTGCAGCCAAGGCGGCTAGGATCCATACGATGTAGAAGCTAACGGGTTTGCGTTTGGAGCATGAAGGGAGTGGTTTGAGATCCGGACTGCACAGATTCGGGTTACCCATTAGGCTCCGTAGAAAAAACTCCTGGTTGAAGCCAACAGGGACTTTGCCTCCAAGTTTGTTGTCAGAGACATTGAACTTGTTTAGCTTCAGCTTGGTCAACTCCGCTGGAATATCACCGGAAAGTGAGTTCCCGGCGAGATCTAAATACGTCAACACCGGTAAATTCCCGAGCTCACTCGGAATTTTTCCGGTGAGCTTGTTATTAGCTAAATTCAGCTCTGTAAGCTCTCTCCAAGGACTCACAGTGCTCGGAATTTCACCAGTAAACGCGTTATCTCGAAGATCAAGAGTCTGTAACTTCTTCAACTTGGTTATACACGAAGGCAATTCACCGGAAATTTGATTTCTGCTCGCATCGATGACTGCGAGTTTCTTCAAATTGCAAATTTGAGCTGGAAACTCGCCGGAGAAGTTGTTGCCGGAGATCAGCAATTGTGTTAGGCCATGAGAGCCGGCGATTGAAGGAGAAACAGAGCCTTCAAATCTGTTGTTACCGAGATCAATGAATTCAAGTCCAGAGAAATTCCAGAAACGAACTGGTATTTCTCCGGAGAGTTGATTGGTGTATACACGAATGTAATTCATCGAATCGCAGTCACCGTAGGACTCTGGAATCGTACCTGAGAATTTGTTGTTGAAAATGACGAGACGTTGAAGTTTCCTTCTGTGACAGAGATTCGGAGGCAATACACCATCAAATTGGTTACCAGAGACATCAAATTCTTCCAACTCTGAATTCAAACCTAAATTCACCGGCAAAGTACCAGAAAACCTATTATTGAAGAGCTTCAATTGAGTGAGTTTAGGGCTTAAAGCTACAAATTCTGGAATTCCGCCTTCGAGATTGTTGTCATTGATATTGAGTGATTGGAGATGCAAACTGGCGAGACTTTGTGGAAATTTTCCGGTGAGATTGTTTTCGGAGGCGTCGAATCGGAGCAGTGAAGTCAGATTGGCGAATACGTCAGGCAATTCACCTGAGAGTTGATTCTTGAAGAGCTCGATTTGAACCACGCTCTTCAATCCACCAATGGAATCCGGAACTTCGCCGGAAAGTTGGTTGTCGGAGAGATCGAGATTTTGCAGAGCAACGAGGTCTCCGATTGACTCCGGTATGTCTCCGATGAGGAATGAACTCGCAAGAAATATATTCTCAAGCTTCTTTAGCTTTCCGATTGTTGAAGGCAAAGGACCTGGTGTGAAAGGATTGTAAGCGAGTGATAACACAGTCAACTCAGTGAGATTGGTCAAGAACTCGGGGATTGAGCCATTGAATAGGTTACTGTTCAGATTGAGTACTTGAAGCGCCGGAAACCGGCCGAAACTGGCCGGAATATCGCCGTAGAAGTTGTTCCGGCTGAGATCGAGCGAGCTCAAGTTGAAAAATTCCGGCGATAACTCCGGTAATTCGCCGCCGAAAAGGTTGGAAGAGAGATTCACTAAATGGAGGTGAGAGCAGAATGAGATGGAGTCAGAGGAGAGAGTGTCTTCGAAGTTGTTATCAGCCAGAGTGAGATTTCGGAGAGTAGGAATCCGGCAAAAGCCCGCCGGAAAGCCGCCGGAGATGTTTAGACTGATTAGGTCAATGGCAACCACGGCGCCGTTTTGGCAGGTAATGCCAGTCCAATTGCAAGGAGTGCTCTGACCCGTCTCAACCCAGTCCCGGAGGTTACCATCAGGGTCGTGGAGCTCATCGAAGACCCGGAGCAAGACGACGCCGTCTCGGTTCAGAGATGTCCCCAAAGCAACACAACCCACCAACACAACACCTATAATCAGTGTCAGATAACAAAGATTTGTCCTCTGATAAGTCATCTTTTTTTTTTTGCTATACAGATGTTAGAGTTCTGTTACTTAGAATGAGAATAAACATTTGCTGAGAGTCTAGATTGTAGAGAGAGAGAGTGTGAGATATAGAGAGAGAAAAGAAGATGCATGGGTGACAAGTGCAAGGCAAACAGGTTTTCCGGGAATCGCACAGTTTCTTTCTTGACTGTGTGTGTGTGTTTTTGGGTGTGTTCACATGGAAAGAGCTACTTATGAAGTGGTAATAATTAGATGCAATAATACTCGTGAAGTAAAGATGCTTTTGGGCTACTTGGGGACACATGATGACAAAGGGGTCAAACTAATGGAGTGTCACTTCTTTTTGAAAGACATATTTGTCCCCTAGTGCAGCGTACTTTCTGAAAAGTTTAGTCATTAAATAATCTTAATCTTCTACAGTAGTTTTAGTAACAAAGTTGTTGTTCTTTGAATTCCCCGCACCCTTTTATAATTACATCAACTAATCTTAAACTGTATTAAGTAATTTTTTAAAATAAATTCATCATTCATTTAAAAAAAATATTTATAATTGACTACACCTGTTAAGAGATAGAGAATGAAATGTTGGATCATAAGGCACAATATTTTTAAATGGGTGTCACGAAGCGGAGTTATGAATGAGATGCGGGGGGCGAACTAAGAAAATAACTACAGTGCACGATACTTCCATAATTATAGAATTGTTGAATTAGTATTATATAATTAAAAATTTATTATTCAAAATATAATTTGCTTTAATAGCTTATATAAGAACTAGCTAAAAAAAATTCTTCAAACTAGTGACGATTAATAATATTAGTATATATAATAATATCATTCTTATTGGTATTATTTTCATCTTGGTATTGTAATATTTTAATTTTTACTACTTCACACGAAGGGAGATCATGTATTTTTTATTAAATACGAGGAGACATTAATGAAATTTTATCTTCTATCTCTTGAATTCATATAATAGACATTAATGAAATTTTATCTTCTACAAATAATGAATTTATATTTTTGCTAAACAAGATTTTAGCTCAAATTAGAACTTTGTATGCGTTTTGAGATGACACAAATTATTTTAATTTTTAGTTTCATAATTATTGGTGCAAATAAATAAGTGGTTTGAAAAAAAAAAAAAAAAAAGAAAAAAATTGGGGGGCACCAATGAATATTTTTTATGAGTTTTGGAGGGCATAAATAGAGGTATTTATATAAAACAACAATTTAAGTGGGGTACAAGAAACATTTTGAAAAGTTTTGGGGCATGGTCCCCCTCTAGCTCCGTCCCTGGGTGTCTCTTTCATTTTTTGCGCGTGTTCTTAGTCATACTTTCACTTTATACACAATATTTTGTAACTTTCACGTTTTTACTTTTGTTCATTGTAACTTAGGTTGGGCATTCCTCTTGATTTAAACAAATTGAAAGAGAAAAGACTATCCTTTGTTTTCTTGATAAGAGCCCTTATTAGATACTGGTGATGGAAATCAAAAAATAAAAAATAAAAAAAATGACAAGGGGGGTACTGTAATGATGAGAATCTCTCGTTTTTTGTAGGAGGAATAGGGGGTTGATGGGTTGTAATTTTGACAACATTCTTTTCAAGAGAATAAGAGGTGGGAAGAGGGGTTGCTTCAACATTACATTAGATGGGGTAGGGAATCCGAGTGGGAAGGAAATCTTCTTTAGTTAGGCTTGAAATGTGATGTTTTTGGTGTGAAATTTGAAAAAGGTTGTACATTTGCTTGAATCCAAAGCTAAGTTGGAAGGTGGGCACTGTAATGATGCAGACCTGGCAAGATTAAAGGAAGAATGAAGATTAAGAGCTGTTTGGGAGACGCTTTTGCTTCTTATTTTTAAATTTTTGTCGGTGTAGCAAAGCACAAACATAAAGTTGTTTTTTATAATGTTTGTTGCGGTTTGAATAGTATAAACGAAACGCTTTCAAAAAATAGACCAAAATTGGAAGCAAAAAAGCATTATTCGCAAAAAAATAAAAATAAAAACCCTCTCTAAAATGACATTTTTAGCCATTTACTTTTTTAAACAAGCAACATTTTTTACCAAATACGTTTTGATGTTTTTTATTTCAAAAATCTTGTAACAAATATGAGTTACTAAACAGTTTTACAAACAGTATTGAATACACTTCAAAACAAAAACATTATTTCTATTTCGAGTGAAAGCAAAAATACAAAGCAAATATGGTTGCCAAATCGACCTAAGGAATACGGCTGATGAACAACATTCACCCATTTATTTTTATTTCATCCCATTTAAAACTTGAACTCTCGGCTTCATTCATTCTTTCGATGAAGAGAACATAAAGTTACATTTTTGTTTTATCCATTTGAAGATAATTGGCAAGTCAATTTTAGAATTTAATTCTTAGTTGGTTCATGATATTTGAGAATTAATTCTAATAATTTTTAATCTAGCAAACTCAATTCTCATTTATTTAGAGGATTTATTTTTTTCTTATTTACAGGGTATTTAACCAAATCATTCTTAGGCTTCCACAACTTCTTGTTAAATGTTTGTCAAAGTTCAGATCATTATATTCTCTTACATTTTGTTCACCACAACTAATTTTTTTCAAATCTAATAAAGTATAAAATTTCACAAAATTATTGAAATTCACAAACTTGAATAAAATTTCTTACATGTACAGCGACTTAAATCTAATAACATTTTTTGTCAATGTGAAAATCTTCATAAACATGAAGTCAAAATATTTAAACTGATATTTTCCAACATTAGAATAATACATCTTAGATATTCTCAAAGAAAATGATCCACAACCCAACTTTCTTTTCCAGACGTTACCACAACAATTTTTTGTATTTTTTTTATTAGTAATTTTTTTTTTTAAAAAAAATATTTTTATCAATCAAGTGTATTTTAATATACTACTTAAGTTTTAAACATGGAGTATTGAGTTAAATATTTATCACATGCACCAATTTAGCTTGCCTTGAACTTTACGAAATTATGACCATTATGCATTATAATAAAAATAAACCCACACACTAATTACATGCTCAAAGTTTTTTTAACCACAAAGACAAGAACAAATACAATGCCTCAATTTAAATGATGGATGTGATTTGTACATAATTTTTTTCATTATAATAATAAGAAGAAGAAAAAAAGGCAAAGTGAGAAAAATATTCTTAATGTTTAAATTTTGAGCAAATATCATCCTTTAAGGAAAAAAAAATTGATATATATATGCATTAAGTTTGAAAAAAAAAAAATTGATCAAAGAAGGACTTGGGGTCACAATTTAGTCATATAAAATTTCACAAATATCATTTTCTCTTCCAATAATGTCCTTATATATAAGAGAAGAAAAAAAAAAAAAAAAAAAATGGAACACTTTAATCATTTCACATTTAATTACTTTTTTATTATTTTTTTTTAATTTAGTTATAAAGTAATACTTTAATCTTTTCAGCATTCAGTCGTTGCTTGCTTAAAAAATAAATGTTTGGATTTTTCAAAACGTATAGTGAGTTATACACTCTATATACATATCATAAGACTATTTTTCACTCATCACCATACTAATACTATATAAAACTTTGAAAAAAAAAGAAAAAAAAAAAAAGAGAAAGAAGAAAGAAATAAGTGATATATCTTAAGTCATATAAAGTAAGAACAGGAATAAGAGAGGTTGTACGAACAAAAATACAAAGTAAATAAAATTTAAATCACACAAAGTAGAGTAAGAATGAAAACATGTATTAACCACGAGAGCATTATCTTTTTAAGAGAATTGTGTGCCTCTTAAATTATATCATCTTTTGTTGCTAGCGCATTGAATTAGCGAAGTTAGTGAGAACTTTAAGTAGATAGGTTTTTGGTAAACAAATTGAGGGAGCTTAGGACTTTGAGCTTTGAAAAAGATTGGTGCAATTAGGGAATTAATTAGAAGATGATGCTGTTTGGGAAGGAGCAAACAAACACACCAACTCAGCGTCGCCGTGAAGAATCAGTTGTTTGGGTAGGAAGCTGTCGCTTATATTATACTCATGCTCAATATCCAAACAAAAAGTACAAACTCTTTAGAACTACCCCGTTTGAAAGTACTTTGTTGACTATACATACATACATATATATATATAATTCAAACCGGTATAAAAATTCAACCCATTGGCGCTTTGGGTACAAGCCAAGCATAGCGCGGGTATAGATTTAAGTCCCAAGCATACTCTAAATATATATTTTTTTATAATTAATTACTGTATATATAGATTTTCTTATTTTCATTTTTACACTTTTCGAAATTTTAATTGCAAAATTAAGAAATTTATCTATGTAATTGGTAATTATTCACACATACTTACAATTTTTTCTTATGAAATATTTTAGATATGTTAATAATAATTTTTTATATACATAAAAAATGTGCATAGAGAAATGAGTCAAGTCTTTATGTTTCGTAGGTGTGTGACTAATGATATTTCCTCTTCTATTAAAGCAAATGTGGAGGTCTCAAGTCTTTTTAAGAGTATTCCAAGAATTATTTGTTTGTAAAAAAAAAAGGAAAAGAAAAATTCACACCTATCCGTGTAATGCTAGAGCATGTGAAAATTCGACATGACAAAAGGTAAATTTGAGTTTGCCTTAATTGTATTTGGTTCATAATTAAATGACACGCTAATTAAATGTGTCGTCTTCTTTTATGATTCGATTAAATTCGTTTCACTAAATGTATCTGGTGAACTTATTGTATTCTTATTACAAAATGACCCATTTAACCAGATCTAGAAAATTATGTGAGGGAGGGCAATTGTGAAATTACGTAGTAATTTTAGTGGAGGCAATAGTATAATTTTATAGATATATAATTCAAAAAGGAAAAATTAGTACAATATAAATACAAAAAATAAAAAATTAATCCCCCTCCCCCCCCCCCCGCCGGGTGGATTTGGTACCTTAAATTGGTTTGGGGTAGGTATAATAAAGTAATTTAAACTCGAGGTAGGTTTGGGTCAGTGGCGGACTTAGTGAACCCGCCTCGACTCCACCTCGGTTATATATATACCTTTAAAAAAAAATTAAATATACTTTATATATATTTAATATTTTTACGGCCCTATCATGTTCCTTTGCTAGAAGTGTCATGAAAATTATGTAATATATAAATATTCACTATTTAATAATTTATAAACTATACCAACTTAGTTATCAGCTCAATGTGAGCATATTAACTAATTGTTTTAACTACGTAATAAAAAT